TGTGGTTGTGGAATCAGCCAAAGCTGTTAATAGACACTCTTGATCATGGCTTCTGTCTGTGCTGACATCTGAAGGACTGAGTATATGCATTCTGTACAAGTTTCAGGGAGGATCTCCAGGTAGGATTGGAATAATTCCTGCTTGAAACCCGAAGAGCCATGGCCAGTACTGGGCTAAAGGACCAAAGCCTTGACTCAGTATTCAGCTGTTTCCTATGCTTTCTTTCAGTGCCTCACAAGATGCCTTCCAGGGAACCCCAGCAACAGGGTAGGAAGGCAGCAGCCTTCTCAAGTCCCACAGAGCTCCCTCTCAGAAATGGGTATTTTGTTATCTATGATTCATTTTACCTTGCCCATCTACCAAGATACCCTCTGAACCTGGAGATACCAAGATACTCTCTGAATCTGGAGTTTCTATGTTTTTTGTTCAAAAACATTAATATTGCTCTTCAGTATATCATTTGGCCGCTCATGACAGTCATAAAACAATATTAAATAAAGACATACAAATTAACACCACAAAAAATCTGAAGAGAATAATAAAAATCAGCTGTGCTGATTAAGTTACAAACATCAGAGATGGCGCACTGCAAGCCTGGGAACCGTGTTCTTTACCTGACATTGGCAAGACATTATGTTTAGTGCCAAACAAGCCTCATCTCCCATTCCCTTATGCCTGCTTCATTTTCTTGTGAGTTTGATTTCTATATCTTGTTCAGTGTCCTTGTTGTTGTGTTTATGTTGTTTAACCAATTATGTGATAAAAAGTAATTTACTTGCCCTCTTGCATATGAAATGTTGCTTAAATGCTGTTCCACAGATGGGATCATAACTTGAGTAGTTGCCATGGGAGGCAGCTTTTATTCATGCTTTCTGTTTTTATGGAAGAGACACACAGACATTTTAAATATGTGTTGCTGCCACAAGAAATCTAAGAGAAAGCAATTGGCAAGACTCACAGAGACCTTGTGGCAATCTGTCAAAAAGTTTGGTATATTTTCTCCACCCTTTTAGTACAATTTGGCAAAAAGGATTGCAGAAAGGCAGCACTGTAATAATCTAGGGACAAATGGCATGGTTTCAAAAGTGCCTTCATAGACAGAAAAGAGGCCATAAAAGGATAAAAACCATTCCAAAACAATTCACAGTATAATTTTAATTTCTTTTTTTAATCAGATGTAAGTTCTTGGAAAGAATTAGAGATGCTTGCACAGTTCGTCAAGCTTTAGCTTAGTACAAACTTCTGGGGCTCCTAAAAGCCCATCTTAAAGGAACGTTGAGAATTACAAGCCCCTAAATCCTTCTCTAAATCTGAGACAGAAAAGGATTCCCTTTTTAACCCTAACCATTCCAAGCTCCTTTTCTTTAAATTACCTGGCAGCACAGATGGAAGAACAGCAGCAATAAAGATGGCACCCTAACTGCAAAAAGGGAAGAAAAGAGACAAGATCCTTTCCTCCCTTCCCTCTTGTGCATTGCTAATTTAGCTGGTGGAAAGACCTCAGCTGGACTTGGGACCAGTAGTTTTTTCCAATGGCTTTTACTACCTCTTAGAAAAATAACAACTTTCAAGAGCTACTGGGATCTCTGCCCTTTTCACCATATTAGGCATATTCCAGAGAGGAATATCTAGAGAGAGTCAGTCTCCTTACAATAATCATGGAGATACAGAGGTATTTTTTGATTTGGTGTAAATTAAATGAAATAAATTACTGGAGTGCTGTTACTGTTGCTTTTTCCTATTGTACATCCTACTAGGTTTAACATAAAGAAAGGGGTTTAGAAGTTCAGGGTGACTGAATGGCAGAGCAACCTGTGAAATCAGATTGACTTAAACGCAACCAGAGCAATTTCCAAAAAAAGTCAAAATAGTTTAGCAATTGGGATAGGATTGACATGAAAACAACCAGAGCAATTTCCAAAAAAAGTCAAAATAGTTTAGCAATTGGGATAGGATGAGCTCATCCATCACTAATTTCAGTCATTACTATAACATTCAAAACTATTTTTTAAAATGGAAATTGGTCTGAACATATCTTATGTTCAGATATAAGGATTCCTATTTTACCTATGTCCATTTAGCAAGGGCTTGCTGGGAATTAACATATCAACTGTCAGATTTCAGTTTGGAATCTGGATTTGGAATCTGGAATTGGACTTGCTCCGTATCACATTTGAAAGCTTGCTTGTTCTCTTATCCTGTTACACCACCTTGTTATCTCACTTCAGCTTTAGATTGTTTCCACAGTTAGGGGTAAGTTGATGATCAAATGTAGTTAGATGCAAATCTTTTCTCATGCTTCTCATGTCTTGATCTGGTAAGGTAAATTTTTCTTGTTGTCTGGGGAAGGAAGGCATCTTGTTCTATCCTTTTCCCATGGAGCTCTGAAATCAGAGCATCTAGTAGCTTTGTGCTAGGGCACTTTTAGTTAGATCCACATTTAAACAAATCAAAACAAAAAAGAGACAACAAACTGGTTTGCATGATCAGGGAAAAGAAATAAGCCAGATTGGCTTATTTCTTCTCTTTGTATATGCTGGTTGCATGCTATGGGCATACTTACCCTGGCAATATGGTTTGCCATGTCATGAAAACTCACATGGGGTGGCTTGTTGCTGGGGGAAGCAAGGCACCCAGAACCTTACAGCAGGTTTTGGGTTCTGGGTAGCTTGTTGCCCACAGCACCAAGCTGCTCTGTTCAAGTTCATACAAGCATTACAAGCTGCTCTGCTGAGGGTAATTATGCTAATCTTGGCTCATAAAGGAAGAGATAATAAGCCAGAATGAGTTATTTCTCTGTGATCATGTGAACCTGGCCCCCTTTTAAGAGTCAATGAATCATCTTCCCTTTTGTCATCTTAAATTTGTTTTTTTTAATTCTGCTCTTCATCCAAAACTTTCAGGGTGACATGCACTGTTCTTACCTCACCCCTTTTTAATGTCACAGTAATCCTGACAGGTAGCTTAGGCTTAGAGAAAGAGTAACAAGCCTGAGATCACCCAGTGAGCTTTGTAGCTGAATGAGGATTTAGAACCCTGCACTCTTTGATTCTGCCACAGGTCATGGATAGATTGGCACTGACCTTAACCATGGTTAATGATAACAAGGCTTTCCCATTAACTGGACTTTAAAATGAATGTTAAACTATACATTAAATATTTTTCAAAATCAGTTGGCTACTAAACATTTTTGCTTCTTTGTAATATTGATAAAATTGGTTCAGTTCAAACCATATCCACTGTTGTCCTAGGCCCATTTATTTCCTGCATTGGTTAATGCAATCTTTGGCTGGCAAATTGTCCTCACTCCTTAGTTCCTTCTTTTGGCTTCTTGTTTTCCTTTTGCCTTTGCTTTTAAACTTCTCCTGATCTTGTTCCTACTTTTCCTAATGTACTAATTATGTCCCTTCCTGTGATTTTTGGTCTTCTTTGTTTTATGCTTTTGTATGGTCAGCCATTACTGAAAATAGTTGAGAGAAGGTTTCTGGCTCAACTTGCTCACCAGAACCTGGCTGACCACTTACCATGACTTGCCATGGGGCAAATAGGATGATCAAACAGTATATATGATGATGATGATGATGTTGAATTAACTGAGTACAAAGACTAGAAACAGAACACAATTGCTATGTCTCTGAAGGCATTGCATACCAACAACTGATAAAAGGAATCCCCTGGGGTGAGCTTATGGATGCTAGAAGGGAGAGGCAGTTAAAAATGGAGTTCTTATGATCCCTTGACATTCAACACCATTGACTTTTACTTTTCATTGACAGTGGGATTTTATCTGAGGAGAGAGAAAAAATCTGCTTTATAGAGACCATTTTAATGGACGCTGTTTCTGTCCCATTCTTCACTAATCTCCACTGATTTTAATGACTGCTTTAAATTTAAAATTTCCTTTTTCAGTGCATCTTTCTTCCTCCTCCTGTAGGTTTATATTATAACACCAGATGAATTTATATCACATTTGACTCTGAAGTTATCTTCACACAAAACTGAACAACAGTTGGACAAGCTGTGAAATGATAGTACTCTTAGTAGATTTCTTAATGCTATCCATATTGAATCAATGGCTAGGAACACTACCTTGATATTTTGTCATGTTGTAAGAATGCGGTGGGACTTCCTGTGTTCGAACAGTCTTGATTCATGCTATGTTGGCAAGTGCAGTGTGGCAGACCAAAGTGTTCTGAAATGCACTGTATTCCTGGCCTTTATTTTTAACACAGAAATTTGACTCGGGGAAAGCTACAGGTCCTAGCAATCCGTCATCTCTTTGATCCAGCTGAAAGGCCACTGTGAAAGGCAGTTGCTGTCTGTTTTCTCCCATGCCAGTTAAAGATCTAAGCTCGCCATTGAATTCACATGTTTCAGATTTTTCATGGGGACTTGGTGGCTTCCACTCAGTGGTACCTTTGCATCTGAAATAGTTACAGGGCCTTACCATGGCTCTTCGCTGGTAACAGGTTGCTGTTTCGGTCATACTAAGTAAGCTTGCACATGATTTTCTGTTTATGCAAGGGATCTGTTCTTTTTCACTTTAATTCATTGCAAGATAGCTGCCAGATTTTTCTTAGCCATGTCAGGTTCTTTTCCATATATTTGCATTTTAGAGTATTACATAAACAATTAAATAATTTCTCCAAATTGCCTATACTTGAAATAACAGCTTGATGGAATTAATTAAATTTTATCAGTTATGTTGAAATTTGTTTTTCTGTTCTTTGGTATGTGTGTTTTTTCAGTAATATTCTACTAGATTTTCATTTAAGAAACCATTTAAAGTTTGTAGTGCATTTGATGTGATGATGTCCATAGTGTCATGTTATAGGCCTTGATCAAACTCCAGGCTTGGCCAACAAGTAGTGGTTTGGGGGTTCCAGCTAAGCAGTGAGCTGTGTTTGGAACCAAGCTGGCTTGTTGTCCCAAAACTCCTACAAATTTATATCCCTGGGTAAATCAACCCCATATTAACCAAATGTGGCTTCCTTTCTTAGATTGGAAGATTGGTTATTGGGCAGAATGGCATCTTATCCACCCCCGCTGTATCATGCATTATCAGAAAGGTCAAAGCAGCTGGAGGGATTATTCTGACAGCTAGTCACTGTCCTGGAGGACCTGGCGGAGAATTTGGAGTTAAGTTTAATGTTGCCAATGGAGGTTAGTATTTTTATGGTACAACTTATCACAAACACAGAATTGTTGATTTTTTTAAAGATAAATTTAAAGGAAAAGAAGGTTGGTTATAAGTATAGACTTTCTAAAAGGTAAAAGTTTCCCCTTGACATTAAGTCCAGTCATGCCTGACTCTAGGGGGCGGTGCTCATATCTGTTTCCTAGCCGAGGGAGCCAGCGTTTTTCTGCAGACAGTCTCCGTGGTCATGTGGCCAGCATGACTAAACACCGAAGTGCACGGAACGCTGTTACCTGCCCACTGAAATGGTACCTTTTTATCTACTTGCATTTTCATGCTTTCAAACTGCAAGGTTGGCAGGAGCTGGGACAGAGCAACAGGAACTCACCCCATTGTGCAGATTCGAACCAGTGACCTTTCGATCAACCAGCCCAGCAGCACAGTGGTTTAAACCACTGTGCCACCTGCAGTCCCCCATAGACTTTCTACTCTTGTCTAAAACTTTTAAAACAAGTTTCCACATTTTCCTAAGAATTCTACACTTTTAATAACTCGTGGGCAGTATGCAATCCTGCATGCATGCCATCTGAGACAATCATCCACATAGTGGGGAGGTGGTGTTTCTAAAATCAACCTGAAATGAGCTGATCATTTCATTGGCAGCAGAACTAACAGAAGGAAGCTCCATTGACCTGTCCTGTTTTGGAAACAGGTAATGCTGGCTTGTTTCCAGGGTTGAATTTTAGGAAAACATTGCATGAGTGGTGAGTGCTGTTTGCGCAAAAGATTGAGTGGGAGCTCAGCATGAATACTGGATGCTGCCTACTATATTTGATAGGCAGATGCTCAAAGAACCTGGAATTTTTGCCAGTGTTTTTTTCAGATACTTATAAACACATATATGTTTTTTTTTTAATTTAGAGACCAATGTTATGCACACTAGATAGCATCTAGGGGTCAGGGGATACTTCAGATCCAAGTTCACAGAGCTTCAGTCTCAGAGCTGGGGATCCAAGGTCTCAGGTGGTACAGAAAGAACTGCACCAGCTACTTCTCCAGGATTGAAAAAAGTAATCTTGGAGAAGGGAGTAAAGGGGGTGGGGAAACTGGAGTCACCAGGCTCTTGTGGATCAGGACTCCTGGTTTTGATTAGTTCCTTGTAATAGACATGTTTCTTCTCTCTCAGTTCCATGCATAAGAATATGAAACTTTATTTGATGAGAAATTGAAAGCAAAGGATTTAATTTGTCTTCTCAGGAAATCAAAGGCCGTAGTGATAAATACAGACACTACTTTTTAAGACATAGGTAGCAGCTACTTTTTTTCTTTCAGTTTTACTCCAGAGTAGTTGCAGGGCCCCCAGCCTGGATCAGGACCCCTGTAAGATTGATGATAGATTTCTTTCATTACTTCCTCCTGCAGTATGCAAATCTGGATAAGGGGGCTGACACCTGCAAATTACATTACACTTTGTTCATGGGTGTGGGGAGGGTTGAAGCCAGGGTCCTGTACCTACTCTAAAAAATAAAACAACATGTAGCAGCCATCTATAAGGTAATGTTGACTTTGTGCTTTAGAATATTGATCCAGTAGAATTCAGGACAGTTCTAACAGGAAGGATTTCATAAAGCCACAAACATCTTTGATAGAACTTGCACATCCTGCTTGATAAGTGTTTATGGTACTTTAAGTCCATATTGTTTTCCATTGTAGTAATGCACTAAATTTATACTCTTTGTGAAAGAAAAAACCTCATATTTATTACATTAGTTTTTCTGGTCTTGTTCAAATGAACAGTACTTAGATTATTTTTTTATATATTTGTATATCTTCAGGACCAGCGCCAGATGCTGTTTCTGATAAGATCTACCAGATCAGCAAAACTCTTGAAGAATATGCCATTTGTCCTGACTTAAGAATTGACTTATCTCGGCTAGGAAGACAAGAATTTGATTTGGAGAACAAATTCAAGCCTTTTCGGGGTATTGTATTCTTTTTTTCATGGTCTCATAGCTTACCTTGGAGTAAGTCCTGTGAAGGATAATGAGACTTAGTTCCAAGTCAGCCTGTAAAAGATTAAACTGCAAAGTATTAGATTCCTGACTGGTATTGTGGTGTTTTCAAGATGAAATTGGACATTCTTAGTGGGAATTGTGATCCTACCACACTAAATTGCTGTATCCCAGTTGTTTGACTCTTGCATTTACAGGAAATAGATCATTTATATCTTTGAGAATATTTCCCCCCTAGGATAAGTTGAGGAATTCAGGGTACAGCCTGTACCATTTCAGAAGTAACCCTACTCATGCTATGGTTTACATCCAGCCCAGCCCTCTAATTGGTTGCCTTACATCAGTTTTTCCTAGTCTAGTTCCCTCCAGATATTTTGGCCTCAGATGATAATGGGTTTTGTATTCCAACACATCTGGAAGGTACCTGGTCATTGAATTTTGCCCTATATCATGTTGTTAATTTTGTGTTAGCCTTGAACTCCAGTGCAGGACCTTTTTCATCAGGCATTTTAATTTTCAGTTAAAGCTCATAGAGCCTTAAGCTTTAGTTATAGATTCTGTAACCTTTAGCATTCTGCATCTTCTTCAAATTTTGGTTTTACATTCTGAGTGTTGTTTATGTTGGGTTCTTTTCTTGTTGTGTTGATGTAGGTATATGAATATATTGTTTGGGATTTTTATAGCTCCTATTTTGAAGCAACAGTATTTTGAAAGGCAATATAGTAATTTTAAAAAGAATGCATTTATCTTAGTTATTGTAATCACTGGGTACAGTTTAAGTCTGTTTTTTAAATATTGTAGTATAATTTTATGATATTTTATTAGTATTTATATTTCATTTCATGTAAACTGTTGCTAACTGCCCAGAAAGCTTCAGCTCTTGGGCAGGATAGAAATTAATAACAAATAAAACTACAAATATGATCTAACGAAAGTTAAACACTATGTCTAATTGAATATGATGGAAAAGTTGTAAGCGTATGTTTGACTCTTCCACAGAGATCAACAGGATTTTGTTGTTATTGTTGGCTGAATTTAGCCTCTTATGAATTCTGAGTGTAAGCTGGATGCCTTTTCATCTCTTTTGGGTGTCTTGGAAGCTCTTGTTTGGTGTAAAAGTATCCCGTACTGTACACCTCCTCAGCCCACTCCTATCTGTGTCCCTGTCTGTTTTGCACAAGAACTTCCTTGATTATGAAATCTTCCTTGACCTTAAGTTCTCCTACCTGACATTAATTACTGCTAGAATATCTGACAAGTTAGCAACAGCAACCATCTAACAATACCTGACAGTATCATGAATATATTCCTTGCGGTATTTGATGGGTGGTCCTTGCCTGAAGTGTGTCCCATTTTTTCAGTGCTGTTTCATTTGCAGTCATTCAGAGACAAAACATGCGGACTAACAATATATTTCTTTGACCTTTATATGTACAGTTGAGATAATAGACTCTGTGGAAGTCTATCTCAATCTTCTACGGACTATCTTTGACTTCAGTGCCATCAGAGGCTTGCTAACAGGGCCAAATCAGCTTAAGATCAGAATTGATGCCATGAATGGAGGTAAGAAAAGCTATTTTCGATATAGCATGTAAAATATAAATGCAAGGAAAATGAAGTGTTGTCTTGAAACAAGAGCTTAATGGCTAGGTGGTTACAGTACTATAATACATTTACTTGAGAGTAGGTAAGAGACTTGTTTGCACTGTTACTATTTATAAGTACAGTATTCAAAATGTTTTACATATATCATTCAAGCAATGGCCAACCATTCAAACAATGTGATGCAGTATCATTATTCTCCTGGTAAAGATGGAGTCAGATGTAGGTAGTGGCACATCTAATATCTCCTAGTTGGTTCATATTAAGGGTGTAATTTGAAGGAATGAAACTGTACTGAACAGCCTGATTTATCAAAACATGATACTTACACATTACATTTCTGTACAGTGGTACTTTGGCCCACATACGCCTTGGTTCGCAACTAAATTGGGTCGTGAACAAAAATTTCATGAAAATTTTGACATGGGTCGCAAACAAAAATTTCATGAAAATTTTGACATGGGTCACAAACCCTGCATTGGGTGATGCCCAAAATTGCAGCCATCTCCCCACCCCATCCCCCTGAGAGGGGAGATGATGATGATGATGATGATTATAACATTTCTATGCCGCCCCTTGCCGAAGCCTTGGGGCGGCTTACAACACAATAAAATACATTGAAATACAATAGAACATAATAAATTACCATTAAATACAAAAATACAAAAATACACTGAGATACAAACATAATAATATAAAATTAAAATTAACAGTATAAAATAAGTAAATAAAGAATATAGGAGGAGAAAAGAGAAGGAAGAAGAAGTTGCCCTGGCCAGATCATATATTTTAACAATTAAAATGATGTTTAAATAAAAAGGTCTTTACCTGGCGCCGAAAAACCAGTAATGACGGTGCCAGGCGGACCTCTTTGGGGAGTGAATTCCATAGGTTGGGCACCACCACAGAGAAAGCCCTCCTCCGAGTACTTACTCTCCTAATTTCTTTCACAGAGGGTTCCCGGAGAAGGGACTCTCCCACAGATCTCAAGGGGCGGTCGGGCATATACGGACGTAAGTGCTCGTTCAGGTAGCCAGGACCCAAGCCGTTTAGGGCTTTATAGGTCATAACCAACACCTTAAATTGGGCCTGGGCTTCAATGGGAAGCCAGTGAAGCTGACAGAGGACTGGAGTCATGTGAGCATAACGCCCCGTCCCCGTCAGCAACCTGGCAGCTCTATTTTGCACCAACTGAAGTGTTCGGACCGTCTTCAGGGGAAGCCCCACGTAAAGCGCGTTACAGAAGTCTAGGCGGGAAGTCACCAGTGCGTGTGTCACCGTCGCCAGGCAGTTGTACTCCAGGTAGGGGCGCAGCTGATTAATCAGCCGAAGCTGAAGGAAGGCGCTCCTCGCCACCGCTGTCACCTGAGCTTCCAAAGAAAGCTCCGGGTCAAGGAGTACTCCTAAGCTGCGGACCTTGTCCCTAAGAGGGAGTGTTGCACCATTCAGGACCAGGTCAAATCCACCCTCTCCGAAGCCCGATCCGCCAACCAACAGGACCTCCATCTTGTCTGGATTGAGTTTCAGTTTCTTGGCCCTCATCCATTCCATTACCTCGGCCAAGCACCGGTTCAGCACAGCCACTGCCTCACCTGGATTAGTGGAAAACGAGAGGTAGAGCTGGGTATCATCAGCGTATTGATGATTCCGCAGCCCACACCTCCTGATGACCATTCCCAGCAGTTTCATATAGATGTTAAATAGCAAAGGGGATAGAATGGAGCCCTGTGGTACTCCATGGCGTAGCTGCCATGGCGCAGAGACATAGTCCCCCAGCACTACCTTCTGGAATCGACCGTTGAGATAGGAGCGGAACCACTGCAAAGCAGTGCCTCCGACCCCCAATCCCTCTAGCCTATCCAGAAGGATACCATGGTCGATGGTATCGAAAGCTGCCGAGAGGTCCAGAAGAACCAACAGGGATGCACTCCCCCTGTCCTTCACCCTGCACAGGTCATCGTACAGGGCGACCAAGGCAGATTCAGTACCGTACCCGGGTCTGAAGCCGGACTGAAAAGGATCCAGGTAATCAGTTTCATCCAAGAGTGCTTGGAGTTGTTCTGCCACCACTCGCTCCAACACCTTGCCCAGAAACGGGATGTTGGCCACAGGTCTATAGTTAGTGGCCATCTCTGGATCCAGTGACGCTTTCTTCAGGACCGGTCGTATTACCGCCTCCTTTAAAGGGGCAGGCACTCGACCCTCCCTCAGAGAAGCGTTAACCACATCCAAGATCCAGGTCCCAATCCCGTGCTTGGAGTTATTTATTAACCAAGATGGGCAAGGATCCAATAGGCAAGTGGTGGGACGTACTCGTCCAAGCACCTTGTCCACATCATCGGGCCGCAATAATTGAAATTCCTCCAATAATTTTGGACCAGACGGTAGCATTGGCGTCTCCCCAGAAACCTCTGATTCATTAGTGGTGTCCAGCTCGTGACGAATCTGAGCGATTTTCTTCCTGAAATGCCTGGCAAAGTCGTCACAACGGGCCTTTGAGGGTGGCATCGGATCTTCCTTAGGACCCGGGCGAACCAGGCCTTGTACCACTCGAAAAAGCTCCGCCGGGCGGCATTGTGAGGAGGCAATGGAAGCGGAAAAAAACTTCTTTTTCGCCGCCTTCACCGCCACAGCATAGGCCCAATAGTGGGCTCTCAAGTGAGTTGGGTCAGATTCATCCCGTGATTTCCTCCACCTACGCTCTAGTTGTCTCCCAACCCGCTTCATCGCCCGCAATTCAGGTGTATACCAAGGGGAAGAGCGGACTCTGCCCGGTGGGAGAGGACGCTTAGGAGCAATCGTGTCCACAGCCCTGGTCATCTCTCCGTTCCACAGTTCGACCAGAGCCTTGACAGGAGCACCAGTCTTGTCAGCCGGAAACTCCCCCAGGGCCTTCAGGAATCCATCCGGATCCATCCGGCTCTGGGGGTGGGCCCATACAATCGGGTCCGCACTCTTATAGACGGAGAGGCCGCTCTCGAGCACAAACCTCACCAGGAGGTGATCTGACCATGACAGGGGAGTCAAACATAAATTCCTCACCCTCAGGTCATCCTCTTCCTACCCTGTCGAGAAAACCAGGTCCAGAGTGTGTCCACGTTCATGGGTCGGGCCGATGACGTGTTGAGACAGGCCCATGGCCATCATAGAGGCCATGAAGTCCTGAGCCGCCCCAGTCAGTCCAGACTCGGCATGGAGATTGAAGTCCCCCAGGACCAACATCCTGGGGGTCCTCAATACCAGGTCTGAGACGGTCTCTGTCAGTTCAGATAGGGAGACTGCTGGGCAGAAGGGTGCATGGTACACCAATAGAATCCCCAATCTGTCTCGTTCGCCCAACACCAAGAGGCACTCCAGCCCTGGTCTCAAAGGGACCGGAAGACCCGTGAGGGAAATGGAGGCTCGGTAAACCAACGCGACTCCCCCTCCCCTCCCTTCTGGGCGTGAACAGTGTTGAACCAGATACCCGGGCGGGCACATGATCGCAGTTGCGTTCATGCAGGGGAGACGTGCATGATCACAGGTGCGCTCCTGCAGGAAAGATGGGTGCAATCTCAGCCATCTCCCCCCCCCCCCATGGGGAGATGGCCGCAATCATGTTGGGGGGGGGAGATGATCAAGATCATGCCCATGTCTCCCTCCCCAGCGTGCCCGTTTTTCCCCCCCAGCACATCCAGATGACGGGTACAATCTTGGTCGTGCTGGCGGGGCAGGGAGATGGCAACACTTGTGCTCGGGGTGTGGGGGGAGATGGCCACGATCTTTGTTGTTCCTTATCACTTTGCTTCACATTTTTCTGATTTAAAAAAAATGGTTACAGAACGAATTAGCCTTATTTGCATTGAACCTTACGGGGAAATTTAACTTGGTTCACGACCAATTTAGGTCACGACCAGAGTCCTGGAATGGATTAAGTTTGTGAGGCAATGTACCACTGTACTCCTCAATAGCCAAATGCTCTGGGTGATTCCCAAAAGTTAAAATGATAAAATATAATAATATGATAAAATGTAATTTTTAAAAAGCTTACAGCTACAATAAAAAAACCAAAGTAAAGGTCAACAGCATCGTAACAATGTAAAAATACAGTGACACATTTAAAACAGCAAAAAGCAAAAAGTTACAATGCCTAGGAGAACAGAAGGGTATATTACCATTTAAGTGCTGGGTGACCCTTTCTAGGAAGGTGATTCCATAATGGGTGCTATGACTGAAAATGTCCAGCCACTTCACTACATGAGGATCTCTACCAATGACCTTAGGGTAGGATAGCTAAACATAGGAGGAGATAGTCCTGCAGGTAATGTGACTGAAAGCTGACTGGAGGCCAGTGCAAATCAAAAAGCTGCAATATGTTGATTTGGACCAATCCCTATTAACAGTTTGACTGGCCTATTTTACCCCAGGTGAAGTTTCTGGACCATTTTCAAAGGCAGCTGTATATATAATGCTTTGTAGTAATCCAGGCAAGTGATTACCAGACCATGGATAACTGAAGCTATGCTATATCTGTCCGGATAGGGTTGTAGTTATTATAGCAGCTGAAGCAGATAAAAGTTGTCCCACTTCATTCAGGCCACTTGTGCTGCTTATGATGGTGCTGGGTCCAAAAGTACTCCCAAACTACAAACTTCCCCTTGAAGGGACATGTAACTGTTTCCAGTACAGATTGAACTTCTTTTAGCTGTACAATTTATATTGAGTTGGCCCTGATAAAGAGCTATTTGAGTAAATGCTTTAAGAGTATCCATAGCTTTGTTCTTTGTGCACAGTAAACATCTGTGAGGCTCTAACGTTTTAGAGGAAGAGCAGTCCTTAAAATAAGGGGGTTTCTGGGAAATTTAGGTGCAAGCTTGTAATCCCCCTTTAATGAGAGTAGGTTTATTAGGTATAGGTGGAATCATGTAAAAATGTTCATACAGTTGCAGATTCCTGTGCGTTTTGGCATATTGACCATCAGAGATGGCTGCTACATCAATGAGTAGAAACATGCCCTCTGTTTTGATGATAACTTGTGGTGGTGGGCAAGATATCCTATTTAATATAAGCTGATTCCATTTCTATGATTTAAATGGAGAGGATGGACATGAATTCAAAGGTTCTAAACTGGAAGGTAAATCCCTTTTGCAGTAATGGGTCCTTATGTCCGGAGAATCCTGTGCGATGAATTAGGAGCCCCTGCAAATTCTGCAGTTGACTGTGTTCCTTTGGAAGATTTTGGTGGCCAGTATCCTGATCCAAATCTGACATACGCAACTTCTTTGCTGGAAGCAATGAAAGGAGGGGAGTATGGATTTGGAGCTGCTTTTGATGCTGATGGAGTAAGTGGTTGGAGAACACTGGATCTGGTGGCTAAAGTGATGTCAGCTTTTGTTTCAGACATGGGGGCTTTCAAATACATATACCCATCTTTCATTTATACTCAAGAAGAATCTGAAAGCCTAGCCTGGATTTTGTACATAATTTGTCAAACTAGATATTACTAGTGTAAAATATCTGAATTTACAAAAGGTATGATTTGGTTGCCTATACAGGGCCAGCCTTCAAACTTTCAAAGTCACAGGTGAAAGCTGGGAACCAGAGCTCTTGCTTTTATAAGTAAAAAGCAATATTTCATAAACTAGTATTTTCTATACAGCAGTAAACTTCAATGCAGCTTACACAAGGAATCTCACATGTAATTCTTGAGGTATGACAACTGCACATTAATCTAAATGAGTTTAGGCTAAAATCCAAACATGAGCTTGAAGAATGGAATATTAAGTTAGGAATGGAGATAGGTCTGTTCCCATGTAATGGTGACAAACTGTGGGTTAATTACTTGTCCCCGGTATTTGCTGCTCCCATCTTGAATACACAACCTCTAATCAGAGGTTTCTCTGCAACATCTGAACCCTTCAAACTCTGGGCTAATCATTAGTTAAACAACCCAAACTTAACTACTATTTGTAGGTTAACTTTGGATTACTTAATAGCACCATACATGCAGCATACAGGTAGCATGTAGGTTTATTTGATGGCCAAGGTACAGTGCTAGACCAATGGCTAGGAATCTGGGCATACAAAACAAACTGTGGAAGTCTCAGACAAAGCTCACTTTACAGTGCCTTACAGAAATATTCAGCCCCCTTTAACTTTTCTACATTGTGTTATATCACAACCTGGAACTGAAATGGATTTTATTTGCATTGTTACCACTTGACATATGCAAGATAAGTAAACAAATCCAAATTTCTGCAACAGGCCTAATTAAGCTCTGATACAACCTGATATGCTGTAAGTAGCTGAATAGAGTCCACCTGTGTGCAGTTCCAATGCTACATGTCTCAGTTTAAAGACACCTGTTTCTAGAAGGCCCAGAGCTGGCTGGACAGCAGATCTAAACCCACAGCATCAAGAAAACCAAAAGAGTTGTCAAAAAAAACTCTGGGGTAAAGTGCAAAAGTACCCATTCTTTGTTTGGATATTTTTTTACTTAACATTCATGCCACATTAAAAATATTTTGCATATTCACAGTGTTCAGTATCTGTACATCAAGTGGTAGCAGTACCAATTAAATTCAGTTTTATAAATTAGATCAATCTGTATGGGTACCTCTATGTGTACCTTAAGAATTGATTCATTTAATTGTGGTTAGAGACATTTTCACTTTTTGGTTAATTTCTTAGATATTGAAATTATATGCTGTATTTGTGTAATATCCCTTGATATTCTTTTTTGTTTGTGTATGTATTTCCTCTTTCTTCTCTGATTTGTATGTTCTTCTTTATGAAAATGAAAAAAACAATTAAATTCATTTCAATTCCAGGTTCTAAAGCAAAATATGAAAAAGTCAAAGGGGATATGTGATTACCTCTGAAAAGCACTATATTTCCATTTCATTTTGCATTCTTCATAATGGTTGCCTATTCCATTGTAAACATTTTCTGTAACCTTGAGCACTAGAAGCGAAACAAACAGTCAAGGAAAAAAATGAAAAAATAAAGACTGGGAGCTTGTACAAATGTAACTTTTTCATTTTTTTAAGTGGAAACAGTAATTTTTTAGACACATGTTAAGCTTTTTTGTTGTGGAGAATCCAGATCTTCTCATGCAAGCTGGCACCTTCATTTCAGGGAATCTAGTATTGAATTTGGTATTGCTGATTAAATACAGTAAATGCCCTCTCCCTACCCCACTAGTTTCTGTTCCTTTCTTTGTTGGGTTGATCTCACTCACTCATTTATTTATTAGATTTATACCCCACCTTATTTCTTACAAAGAACTCAAAGTGCCTTACATCATTCCCCTCGTGTTCTCTCAGTCTTTTCTCCACAACAACAACCCTGTGAAGTAGGCTGGGCTGAGAATCTGTGTGTGGCGCAAAGTCACCCAGTTGGCTCCATGGCTGATCAGGGAGTAGAATCCAGATCGCCTGAGTCCCAGACCCATGCTCTTAACCACTATACCATGCTGGCTGTCAGGGCAACAATTCTTGCCTGTGGTTGGATGATTTATGTGGCATGAACTACAGGCTGAAATTTCTTTGCTTTAACTGGAGGAATCAAAATGAAAAGAAAAGAAGCACTCGATAACCTCGCTCATAGCTTGCAAGTATAAGTGAGGGTCTCTGCAACCCAAAATTTATCTCTCATACCCTGATAAACAGACATTGATAAAAAGGATCTTTTTACTGGCTTGAATGCTGCTTTTTCCTTCTTAACTTGGTACTACTACTTTGCTAACCAGTTTTCATGTAAAGCAACAGATAGTCGCTTTGCTCAAGGAAAGGGGGTTTTTTTTTGAAAATGAAAAGGAGATAGTATAAGACTTGGAAAGCAAACTCTATTATAAATAATGTTTTTGTGTTTTAAAACCTTCCAAAATCTATTCAAGTCAGTTGCAATTCTCCATGAACTTAATCAGTGAATAGATTATTTTACACAGGAAACATGCGTATGCATGTCAGTGCCATGTGATAGGATGGAGCCATGGAACAATTATGAGCTGCTACTCTTGCTGGATTGCACTGGGTGTGGGGGAATGGGAAGAAGGAAGAGATATCTCAAATGGGAGAGTTCCTATTTTGCAGGAGTGTTGAGGGTGATCTGTTCTACTTAATTTCTCTCTCTCACCTCATTGCTTCTCAATGTATTTTCTTTTCCAGGACCGCTATATGATCCTAGGTCAAAATGGATTTTTTGTGAACCCTTCTGATTCATTGGCCATTATTGCTGCCAATCTCTCTTGCATTCCATATTTCCGTCAGATGGCTGTGCGAGGCTTTGGTAGGAGTATGCCTACTAGCACTGCATTGGACAGGTAGGAGTCATTGGTATAAAAACACATCAACACTCACGAGTGGAGTTTGAAGTTTGGCTGTTTATCACCTGGATGTCAGCAACAGTGCAATGACCTAATTAGAGGAATAGTTTCCAGAGCAGGGACTGAAATAATAAGAGACCTGCACAGAAGTTGGCATGCTCCTTTATTTAAATCCTGAAATGATTGTTTCAATATAGTAAGAATTGCAACTTGCCATGGATGGTTTTTGCCTACAGTTTATGGACAGGACTAGTAATTTGTGATTAAAATGTGTCAATTATCTTTCAGGTGAACTGTTCTAAATATCTGGAAATCTGACACACGTGAAAAGGCAACTAAAAATAACCTTAATTCTTTCCATTTGCAGCTCCTGTTACCTAGAATAATCTCCTATTAAATGCTTTTGATTTATTGCATGTATAGCCAGAATTTAACCTCAGCAAAATTTCTCTTCTTTCTTGCCTCTGACAAAATGTATTTGGAATGATACAAGAACAGGCTGGCTCATAATATTTCAGAAATATTTTTCTTTTGAAAACATTTTAAGCAAAATTTCCTCCATAATATACAGATGGCCTTGGTTTAAAAACAAACAAACAAAAAAGGCAACCGAAACCAAAAGCCTAGATAAACAAAACCATGTTTTTCTGCTCGAAACCTTTGCTCATACTCAATAGTGTCATTCTGTTCATGGAAGAAGCTCTTTTAGCAGAATTAAGATGAGAGAAAATGGTAGAAAAATTCTGTTTTAGTCCCAGTATATTTTCAGAGCATACAGGTTTTATTGAATCCATATATGTATAATGATGTTAGGAATGTTTTCCTCCCCTTTGGAACTTCCCACACTCCATTAAAATCTGATTAGCAGGCAGCACCGAGGACTGTAGGGAGGAGAAAAGAGAAAGTCCTTTTGTTTTGGTGGACACCTGCTAGTGAGAGTTGGGTAACCTTCAGCCCAGAAGCCAAATTGAGCCTCTGGGGTTCCTCAGAAGGCTATGCCCCTTCCCTCATCTCAACCACTGTCCCACTGCACCTGACCAGTCATTTGGCAGCTTCCTGGCTTTTGTGACGTTTTCCTTTCCTCCTCTTAAGGTTGAAATGCTTCTAAGACTTGAAGCTGCAATATGCTGGTGTGAGGGGTGTCTTGCTTGGAATTTTTGGCAGTGCTCCTTCTGCAGCCAACCACCACTGGAAGGTGCTTCCCCTCCCCCCCCAAAAATTGAATTTGACCCAAAAGAGGTTCCTCATCTCCATGCTAGGGGTGACATTGGATTAGATCATAACATTGGATTAGATCATAACAACCAATTTGCCTGCCCCAAGTTAATTTAGTGCAATATACCTTTATGAAGAAACATGCAGTGTGGATTGTACTGTTTTTTATTAAGGAAAGGTTATATCATCCAAGGTGGAATGGTAGAATCAGAGAACTGTGCAGCCTTTGTCAGGCCTAATAAACATTTATTCTTAATTCTGGCCATAAACATTTAATGATTCATAATATTATTTTCATTCGAACAATGGTGACTGTTTTTAAATTATTTTTTCAACTTCTTTATAAATTTGTTGGCTGCATACCAATTTTGAGCTGTACTAATTCTGAAAATATTACTTAGCTAAACCAGATTTTTCTCTTGTCTAAGACTTCAGTTGCAGTTAGGTTATAAAAAGAGAAATTCACTCATGCAGCCAATAGAAATCAGCATCCAGATCTGAATGTGCAAGGCAATGCTTGTCTATCTCAAATAGGATTTATGGGATAATAGACTTCATAATGTTTCATTTCTTATTTAATCTGGCTCTTCCTCTAAAAGAATGACTGTAGTTAGTTCAACAAGCTGTTACTAACTTCATTTCTATAGCACTCAATAGCCAAAGCTGTCTGGGCAGTTAACAACCATTCATAAAATATAAAGCAAAATATAAGTATAATAAAACAGCCTAAAACTTGCAATACAGGAATTAAAACAAAATTTAAAACAATTTGAGCAACTAAAACAGACCTAGCTTCTCAGCAGAGGAAAGCACCAGACACCGTTCTGGGCATGAGACTGACCAAGTATGTTAGTCATTATCTTGCCGTGTTCATTTTAAAAAGAAAAGACAAGCCTTTGTCTCTCTTATCTGAAGTATCTTTGAATCCTGAAGATACCACCCTCTAGTTAGTTTATTGCATGAATAATTCCTCTCACGGAAATGTTGCTGCCCAGTACTTTGGTTCACCAGAAGGACAACCTGTAAGTACTTAAGTACATTTCATCACATTCAGTGAATATTGTCTAGTCATACAAGCTTCATGCTCGTGTGTGCCAAATTTAGCTACGGCATTGTCATCCTGGTTTGAAGTAAATGCTTTCTGTTCAAGTGTTTGATGAAATGGAATGCAAAATGTTAATGTTAGTTAAGAAAAATCTTCAGTATAAACCAATTGTAGATTCTACCTTTTGCTTTGCTAAAAAATAGTTTATCCAAGATGATTTGAAGAAGGGAAACCTACCTTTCATACAATCAGAATGCTATTTCTCCTTTATGTATAACTTTCCAGATATGCTGGAAGAACTCACTTGCATTTCAGTGTTATGCACTATAATGTTTATGATTTCCTCACTTGTTAAGCTTTCACTGGTGCATGCATTCTGGCTAGTTAGCTAGCATGCTAATGAGTGTTTTCTGCTGCCTCTGATTATGGATATTAGTGACTTGTGTTTCCCTGTGACATTTACTTAGATGTTTCACTGGATAAGCCAACTGTACTTTTGGCAGTCTGTCTGCACTCTCATTATCACAGCTTGCAGTGACGAATACATTCCTTCATGCCACTGTCACAGCAGTCCATATTTCTTATGTGTCCAGGATTTTCTTCCCTTCTTTAGGAGATTAGTTTTCTGCCAAGCATATTAATGGCTGTACTATTTCAGCCAAGAACTCTCTGTAGATAGCAGCTGTGAATGAACAACCTGTCAGAACCAAGGGATAATATTTGGAGGTTGGAGCTACTTTTGAACAGAGGAACAGGCATTGCCTTAAAAACATCTTCCTAATGTTGGTTCTCTTGTTCACTGATAGCAGCCAAACATTATCTGTACTCCACATGATTCCAGATTTTCTCAGCGGTGCTTACATTATAGTGGGCTAATAGGTTTAAAGTTATCTTTTAAAAAAACACCATACATTTTCTGTAAAGACCATTGAACTGAGTTCCTTAAGAGTTTCATTTTTAGCAGCACAAGCCATTGTTCCAGATATGTGACAGAACAGAAAAGATTAAGAAGATGGGCAATCTTTTTTGTTTAACACACAAATGGTAATAGAACAGCATTTCATGTTATTTCTTCAGTTCTGACATATTAGAACTCTGCCTAATATATTTAAGCTAAAACCAGTGCTAGTGTTTGCCAGATGCACCAATTATGGAATATATTTTTCACAGGAGTTATTGTTAGTAATGAATTAACATTATTTTAAAAATCCTGATTGTGTGCATGGTGTCATTTTCATTATAGATCTATATGAACAGCTTTTGATCATGAAAACGTTCACTGGCAAACCACCAGAAGCAAAAATATTGCTAATATTGATAGCGGTGGTTATTAATGGAAACAATCCTGACAGAAATAAAATGCCTGGTAAAACCAGTAGTGTTACAATTATTGTGTGTAGGAAGCCATCAATATGCTCATTAAGGAAGTGTTTTCTCTCATGTGGTTTGGGCAAACCAATCAGCTCCTCTTCTTTTGAGATGGGGAATGAGTTTCTCTTTCAGTCTGTTTTTGTTGATGCACAAACTCTGAAAGGTTTTTTGGAGACAAAGAAGGGAAACTCTCACCTTGTTGTATCATTATTATATCTTCATATTATATTCAGTCTATACAATCAAAAGATATTAAAGGACTTATAACAGAATCCTACATTCTGTTTAGAGTTGAGACCCTGTCTTACAAATCACTTTAAACCTGAAGGAAAACAACTTTGGAATGAAGTTGACTAGACCTGAAGCTGCTTGGAGGTTCTTGAGGAGATCCATTGTAGGAAGGGTTTCACATAATTTCTGCCTGAACCACCAGGTTCAGGGCATCTATCTTGTTGGCAATGTTCCTACTGTGACACCTGGCCATATGTTACAAAGAAAGTTGTAGAGGAAGTGAATACTATTTAAATTAGATGATTATTCATTCTCCTTATCTCAGAACAAAACTTAAAGGTAGAATTTCATTGTTTTGACATTGTAGACCTTGGACTCAGTAAATAGGGAATGGCTTTGTCATGAAAGAAAACAATTGTTCTTTTTTCAGTATGTGTTTTCATTATTCATCTTGCTGTGCCTATTTAGCACCAGACTACCATTCAAAAGTGGGGTTTGCCCACACTGATTTGGACATTCTATTTACTTGTATTACACATAGCAGTGCACCACCTATACTACAGTCTCTTGCATTGCCTGACCTTTGGGGCTTATACTGTTACAATTATTTTCTTTTTTCTGAACTTGGTATAGGAAAAGACTGCTTCAAGTGTCTGACCAAGTGGACACTGCTGTAAGAAGCTTTGGGCATAATATATCTGTCAGTCTTTATGGTGCAGCAAGACTTGTGTAACATTTTTGTGACATGCATCAGAAAAATGAGCTGGTACAGAGGAGGCAGTGGGTGGTAGGCCCCAAGAAAAAAGCCATCTACATTTCTGCCACATGATAAAAAATTATTTCAAGAATTTTCCAATCAGGGAAAGGGCTTTATAGAATATCTACTTCTTGCACCTTTCCACTGCTGCAGCAGATCAGATACTATCCATAAAACAGGTCAACTCTTGTGCACATGATGGAAATTCTGCACATAAGGACCAGCCCTACCATGAGTGATGCAACTACCACAGATGACGGATATAATATCTGGACCTGTGAGTTGATCCGTTTTCTGACACAACTGGAATCACTTCAGGCAACAGGAAACATTCATCGCTCAGCACCTGCTCAGAGGTCATTCGATCATTATAGCAGA